TGGGAACTTTTGAGTCTGACACAGCGAACTGGGCGTCTGAGCCCGGTTGAACCCCTAGAGTATGTGAGGCTGATGAGACGGAGAGAGAGTGACGGGGGTTGGGGGGCCCTACCGCTAAAGGCGAGCCGAAGAACGACGAATATTTTTGATTAATTAATCTCATTATAATCCTACAGGCAGCGAGAGTCTTCGGATATGAAACTCATAATGGCCATGAAGCAGGTGAGTGCTGAGGCCATCACCCTGTTGATCGCCGAGGACCTCGGAGGCGGGCGCGGCGAGTGACAGGCGCCGTTGCCCTTGGCTTCGGCGAACGGTAGGCAACCCTTCCCCGGGTTTCCTCACAACTTTGGCGCCGTTGCCGAGGAGGGGAGCAGCACCCCCAAGGCCGCGGCCTTTCCCAACCAACGGGGGTGCACAGGCTGATTAGTCAAACACTAATTAACTTGTTTTCTTGATTAGTTATATTTTTGATAATCATTTCATGTAGTTTTTTTGAAATATCTCCCGATCCGCGTGCTTTTGCGCGAGCTGCGCCGGGAGCAAAGTTCGCCCTCTCGTCGAGGCGAACGTTTTGAGATGTTTTTTGGAAAATTCTAACGGCTAAAAAAAAAGATATGGATTTTTTTTTTTTTAATTAAAAATCCTAAAAATCATGAGTTAAAAATTGTAATTGGTTTTTTCTCGATATCTCCTGATCCGCGCGCTTTCGTGCGAGGCGCACGGTGAGCAAAGTTCGTCCTTTCGTTGAGGCGAACGTTTTGAGATATTTTTTGAGAAATTCGAACGGCTAAAAAGCGAGATATGAAATTTTTATATTTTCTGATTACAAATTCTAAAAATTTTGATTCTCGTTTTATTGAAATGGTCGGAAAAAGAAGTGAAATTAGGCGAATGTTTATATTTTGATTTTTTGACATTTTGAGACCATAATCGGGGAAAACGGACTTCGTTTGGACAAACGGCGAGGTCCAATAGATAGAAAAGGTGGAAGAAAATCAACGGGAAATTGAATTTCTTTGTAATTTTGTTTAAATTACAAGAAAAAGGAATTTAAAAATGTAATCCAATAAGTTTTTCTTCTAAAACTAGTGAAAGCTAACAAAAATTTTCTCGCGTCGAGCAGGGCTTTGCGGTGTTCGTGCGGTTGCTCGCAAAACCCAAAACCCTAATTAGGGTGAAGTCCTAACCCCAATTTTGAGAGAAGTGGGTAGATAGAGGGAGGCCATAGCTTCTAGCTTCCGCATTTGTTACAGATTATTTTTTGTCAAATATATCCCGTAAGATTGTGGAAATTAATTCGGAAAGT